GCGTCCGGGCGGCCAAATGCGTGATAAAATGGGAACCAATGACACGGGCATAGGGACTTGAAGTTTCAGTGAAGGAAGGGTAGCTACCAGATAGTTGGCTGAGCGATTAGCGAAGCCCATTACTCCACTGACCCGAAAAGTTTCATTCTGTTTGTTTGTTTGTGTGTTTGTGTGTCTGTCTGTCCGCACGATAACCAGAGTATAAATTGAGATAGCGATCTGGGAATTTTAGGGTCGTTTTGTATCAGAAAAAGACAGATCGAGTTCGAAGAAGGGCGTTCTAGCTCAAAAATTGACTTTTAAAAAAATCAAAAACCACAGGTCGCAAAATGTATTTTTTACAAATATTTTTTTATGGGTTCTTCAGGGGTAGCTCGTCAAAGTAGAGCCCCATGGGCGAAAATTTCGTCCGTTTTGTTCTATCTTGTACCGTTTTGGCGCTATGGGGCATTTCTTGGCGAAAACAACGTGAAAAAGACAAAATGTGCTATTAAATTGTAAAAAAGGCTTCATGTCACATAAGTGTAAAGGGAGTAATACTTTTCCTACACATTACGTGTCGAACCACACCCTCTTTTTGGGCTTTAGGGTCCCTAGATTATCTAGTATCACTAAAACGTTGATTTTTACATAACAATCTGTCAATATTGGAACTTTTAATGAACACCGTTACCGAACAGCAGAAATTTCATGTCCTTAATTTTAGAGTAATAGAGTAAAAAGACCCCCCGACAAATGGTTTGAGAATGTCAAGTTTTGGGCCCAGAAGGCCCTGTTACCCTATGCCCTCTCCTTAACTCGTCTCGGGTGTCAGCGCCGCAGGCCTAGCTATATGTGCGCCAGGCGCGTCGCAGCGTAACAGTGTTTCGTGAGATATCGCGAAGCCTGTTACGCGAGACGTGGTCTGGCGTACATATAGCTAGTACTAGTCCAAGATTGATAATAGAAGTTGCTCCGGTAACGCCGCCTTGAGGAAGCGGGCGCAACAGCACAGCACAACAGTACAACGTTGTGT